GAATCCCTTGCGAACTCCTCATGGAACCTTGCATTCCGAAACCTTGTAGAATCTGCAGAGAACCCTGCAAGAATCGCATAGAACCTCACATTCTACTTGTCCAGTATCCTGGAGGAAGTAAAGGTTGACCTTTGGGATTCTATAGGGTTTATAGGCTGCATACTCGACTGCTAAGTCAAGCTTAAACTCAAAACCGCAAACCCTAAACCCCTGAATCCAAATCCTTAAATCCTGCAGCACCCAGATGCCCTCAGTCTGTTGGGCTCTTGGGCCACAGCAGTTCGGTAAAGCGCTGCCCATAGCCGACACTAGGGGAGGACATGGCTCCGAATATCGGGTTTAGGGGTTCAGGGTTCAGAGGTCTAGGGGTGAGGGGTTTTAGAGTTTAGGTGCTTTACGGGTTCAGCGTTACATGGCTCCGAATGTAGGGGCCTGTGTAATCAGCTTAGGGGTTTGGGCGACCTCGTACTATTGTGATATAGGGAATACGAGGGAGTACTATGCCTAATTCCGACCCCTACATTCCCGGAACCACGCATCCAGAACCCAGAGCAGAACGAAACCACCAACCCAGAGCAGAACGTCCCTAGACCTGAACCTGAAGCATACACACTAAGCCCGAACACCCGTCACTCAGCACGCTGCGTCCGAAGCCTCTATTCAGCCTGTATTTCAAGTCCGGTTCCTTCTGAATAGGGGACAATGTTTTCTACATGTACCTATACTTGCAGAAACTTGTAGGCAATATATATATATATACAGAGACGTACATGCATACACACATAGACACCCATATACATACTCACATACGTACACTATTTCTGTAGGCACACACACACTCCTCGCTGGGTTTACTTTTGAGGCTCATTGACTTAGTTTTACGGGTTTGGAATGTGTGTAGGAACCCTTACCGTAAGCCTTGTAGTAGCCCTTGGGGTTGAGGCTCATATAATTCATTGAACCGAGGCTTCCTACATTCACCTACTTGTCGGGTATCATGGGGAACTAAAGTGGTTAACCTTTTTGGTTATACAGGGATTATATAGGGACTATACTACCCAAAAGAGGTTAAAGGTTACCTACTCTACTACTAGGTTAACCAAGCCGAAACCGAGAGCTTCTTGCTCAGGGCTTGAGCAGGTCCGCCATGGTTGTTTCAGGTTTGGCAATTCTCGTGGCTGAGGGTTGAGGGTTTAGAGTTCCTTTAAGGGATCCAAAAGGGCTACTATAAGGGTACTTTTGGGGTTGAGGGTTTCAGGTTTGGGGTCCAGTGTTTCGGTGCTCGCACTCGGACCATCCAGGCGAGGCATGTGGTTCGAAGTCTGCTGAGTGAGACTGCACTACTGGTGTTGAGGGTTCAGGGTTCAGATGAGGTCTTCAGGGTTTGCAGCAGGGCTGCAGGCTTAGGTTTCAAAGTCTCGGGTTTGGGGCTACTGAATGTATCTCTTAAAAACTTTCCTGTGCCAAAAGCGCTTTGTGTGTATGGCTTGGGGTGAAGTTTCAAACCTGAAGAATTAGAGTAGGTTTTTGTGTTCCGGCGTACTACCGTAAATGTAATGCGAAGTGTTTTCGGGTTCTATACTCGGAGGTTGGGCCCTAAGGAACCACACCGGAAAACTCCCAAAGAGCTGGCAACCTTCAGCCACCCAACATGCTACTTACTAATCCTACCCCTCAAATGTTACGATAGAAGCAGCCCAAATCAACCAGGGAGCGGGGCCAAAGTGATCCGAAAAGCTTGGCAACACAAAGGCTCCAAGACATTCTTTTAATGGAGACCCCCGAATAATTGAAGGTATATGCCTCACTCAAGAGAGTCTTGGGATGTCTGGACACCTGGCTATCTGCGATCTCCTGCCGTTCTTTGGGTTTTCCTTGGGTTCGTTTTGGCAGCCGCGGGTTTAGGATCTGCATCGCTTGGATAAGCACCCGAAGGAAATTCACATTCATACTTTTCCACTATCCAGATGGGACTACAGGCCAACCTTTGGCATTAAATAGGGGTTATAATCGCCCGGATAAATGAAAAGTTACCAACTCCACTACTGAGAACTACAGGTAAGTTGCATGCACCTGAAAGAACGTGAAAGAACACGGATTTTGAATGTGGTGCCGTGCCCAACACGACATGCCTGACGCTATCAAACTAAAGCCAAACCCAAAGCTTGCAATCCTACAGCCCTACCTTTTAAAATGCTAAACACCCCAAACCACAACAGAATATTGCTATGCGGCCCCAAACCGCGACTGCTCCAAAAACCGGAAGAGCCCGAACCCCATCGAAACATCCAGCTAGATCCGGAAGAAACCACATGGCTCACAAACGCTAGATGCCTTGCTCGGGTCTAGTGATTCAGGGGTAAACTGTTCAAGTAGGTTAGGGTGTAAGAGCTTGGGATTTTGCAAGGATCTGGGGTCAGGCTTGTGGTGTAGGGTCTAGGGCTTTTAAACATGGCGTGGTAAGAGCAGCATGGTATACCGCAACATTGTAGCAGTGAAGTGATAGTCCAGGAATTACCTGCAGAATAATGACGCGCAGGATTACAGCAACCTGCGCAGTTTGACCTAAACCCTAAGATCCTTGATATAAAACCCCTAAGCACTAAACCCAAACACTGAACCCCAAAACCCTACAATCCCAAACCCTAAAATCCACCACCCTTTTGCGGGCCCTGGCTTTCCACTCTTTTGCTTCTGCTTTGCCCATGGTCTCCCTGTAGGATATCAGGAGTTGGAGCCCAACAGTCGCCTTTACCGTTCATTTTTTCCCTCCTACTTGGCAAGGACGAGGCCCGCATTGCAGGGTACTGGGTTGAAGAGTTGGCATCGGCTTTCATTTAGGGTTTCGGGTTCCTTTACCTGGGGTTTAGGGCTTCTTTATCTGGGGCTTAGGGTTCCTTTATCTGGAATTTAGGCGTGTAGGGATCCTGTACCGTTTAGGGTTTAGGGTTCCTTTACCTGGGGTCTCAGTTTAGGGTTCCTGTACCGAAGACCTCAGAAGCTTCAGCGAGAATCCTCAGCTTGATCTCCTGCACTTCTCCTCCAAACATCCACGCCCTGAGCCCCAGGTAAGGAACCCTGCCATCTAAACCTGAGGTAAAGGAACCCTAAACCCTAAACCCCAGGTGAAGGAGCATGCCGCGGGGGGGGTGTCCGAAGTGTCCGTAATAACCCTGAAACCCCGGACCCCTAAATCCCTGCAACGCGCTTCGGCTTAGGCCCAAAATCCGTAAAGCAAAGCCTCAGGCAATGACATTCTGGAAAGAACAACCCTATTAAGCCCCAGAAGAATCCCTAGAGAGCGAGACACAAGCGCTAGAAAGCCTTACACCCCAAACCCAAAAATCCGATAAGCACCCCCAAACCTAACACCCTAAAACCTTCGTCACAAATCCCCACACTCTAAGCACGCTTATACATCTTCTTCTCGAATCTGAAAAAACCCTCGACAGACCCTAGAAACCTCACGTTCTTAAACCCTAGGGGCCACATAACTCTCCTGAATCTGTCCTGAACCGTTTTGAACCCCTAGCCGCTAAAACAAAGGACCCTGAAACCCCAGCACCGGGGTCCCTTTAAGGTTTTCTAGAAGGGCTTCTTTAAGGGCTCCTATACTACTATTAGGATTCCTTTAAAGGCTCCTGATTATAAGGGTTACAATGAAGGCTCTAAAACTCCAGCATCAGGGAGATCTCGGATCCATCGTTTTTCGACAGACCCGGCGAGGGCTCACGGAGCCAGCTGCCAAGGGGAAGCTTCGACCCTCTGGCGTAGGGTCTCAGAGGGCTTAGGTACTTGTTTCCTTTTAAAAGAAGGATTCTTTCAAAGGTTCTAAACGGGGTTGAAGCTTAGGATGTAGAATCTTTTTAAGGCTTTCTTATGCTTAGAGCTTTTGAAATCCACTTCGCAGGTGAGACTTTGAGATCTCTCTGTACGAGTTGAGAGTTGAAGACCGAGCTTTCGGAGGCTTGGTGTAGGGGCTTTAAGAACTAGAATAAGGTTTTTGGGGGTTCCTTATTGTAATTACATAGCCCCAAACCCTAATGTAATCACTAGGGCCCCTATAGTAGGGCAAGGAATCGCAGGCGTTTCACAGAGACCTTGCTTATCACAACAACGGTGTGGGGTTTAGGGGTTGGGAGTTTGGGATTCACATGAGTGCCTATGATCAGTGCGAGCATGATACTTCCCAGATAAGCTGCTTTGCAAAGCTTGCTTCACACTGGCGGAAAACATGGCTCCGGAAACTAACTGTGTTCTGCGAAGCTGCATCAGAGCAGCAGATTGCACACAGTGGCTACAGTACTAGCACCGCCCTTAAATTAAAGGTCCCCCATAGCATTCCTTATGGTGCCCGTGTAGGTTCCTTTTAGGCCCCTTCTAGTAACAGTGAACAAGTCTGCTGCCAACAAACCCTCAACGCCAATGCAAGTTGCATTCCTGAGGGTTCCTGGTTGCACTTATACTACAATATACACCCAAAGCCCGTTCAAATTATTGCGGCCCCTATAGTATTGACGCCAGTGCAGCAACGACGGCTGCCCCGACGAAGACGGCGATCGCAACTGCCACGGTCCCTTTTACTGGCCCAGAATCAGAAATATAGCACAATTCTCAGTTTCTGGGGCTAAGGTCATTAAGGTAATGCAGGATTCATATCATCAACAGTACGAATAATGACTCTACTTCACACATATATCTAGGTTGGCCACGACGAGGACGAGTGCCAGCTCTTCCTGGCCATCTGCTACGATTTCTTGTCGACTCGTACTGTCAGTTTTGGCAGAATGATGGCTGACAGAATCATCAAGACTTCTCGCTGCCTGCGTTGCCACATAAGGAGCCTTAAGCTTGTCAACATTGGATTCACGACTATCTGAAATTCGGAAGTGAAAACAGTGATACTGCCTATATGACTCCTATATGCTTCGCTTCTAAACCCCAACAGTTAAACCGTAAACGCATATTGCTGCCGCTCTCAGATTTCGAAAACGGCGTGCTCACACGGCCAGGCGCTCTGCTATATACCTGCGACCGAAACTGTGGGCTTTGACTGCTCTTCGAGAACTTTGAAGACTGACAATCTTGAATTCAACTCAATACATGCTCGTTTCCCTCAGCCCTACGAAACAACACTCCAGTGCTCGCAGACGATGCCACCCCTTCGACAAGCATCCGAATTTGGAGAAAAGTAAAAACCTCTACAGTTTTTAAATGAAGCTCCCTACCCAGAAGTCATGTATAGCATACACTCGACACCTTGAAGACAAGTCGGAATCTAGCTAAAGCTTGTCGGGTGCTGAGGTGTTGGGGTTCTGGGCTCTAGGGTCTGGCTATAGTTGTGCATTTTCAAAGGTTGCCTTCAAGGTTTTCCTGCCTCCTACATTGCTTGATGGGTTCGGTTGTTCTTGGTGTCTTGGCTTCCGTTGCAGTCAGGATAAGCTGTCACGAAAGAGTCTCCCTTAAGGTTTTTGGTTCGTGGTCTTCGTATCCATTGCCTCGTCCGCATGAAGAGCACGTCACACAGCAACACTAAGCCATGAATTTTCGGAAAACTCCAGTATGCTGGTCACATGGGCCTCTTCCGTTCTGCCTCAATTTCTGCCCGCATCTCGTCCAGCGAAAGGTCTCGATATCCTTGGTGCCGGGGTGGCGATGATGCAGTCTCCACGATCTACTGTGATCTGTTGTGATTGTTGTTTGGCCCCGCCAGGCCACAGTGCGGAACAACATCTGTAATCTTTCGGAATCTGCTGCAACCCATAGCCGGCGGACGATGTAGACGCATCGTCTTACACTTCATAAGCATGGGGGCTGCTCGTGTTCAGGTCTTACATCCGAAAAACTCCCCCGTGCCAAAAAGTGACCATGGGAGCATGCAGTCGCTTCTAAGCAACAGCATGCCAAGCAAACCGGTAAAGTATGTTCTAGGGGTCGAACTTGCGCCCAATCCAACCCTGAACCCTAAAAACCTAAAGCCCTACAGTGCTCGGCCAACCCATCTCTCTCTCTCTCTCTCTCTCTCTGCAAATTTCCACTATACAATCCAGACAGTTATCTCTCCCAGGCATTGGAAACGTCAAGCCCGGCTGTAGGACACAGATGCTCCCACGTGACACATGATTGGACTCCGAAGGCATGCCACGGCCTATCTGAACCTTCAATCTGCCCAGCGTCCGACAGCTGCTGGTCCTGGATTCGTTCGCACCTGCACAACATCTGCCGGCTCTGTCTTGGCCTGTGCTTCTTGCTTGCCACGTTGAAGGTCACCTTGGCAAGGTGTCTTACCTGTCCTATATTCTGCAAAACTAAGGTTAACCTTTGGGATTGCATGGGGTTGAAATTGCCCGCAAGTAGGGTAAAAGTTACCTACTCTACCACTGCACTACATTTGCTGCCGGATATTTTAGTCTTCGGGCGCAGCGAACTTGCGACGGTAGGGTTTAAGGTTTTCTGTAGGCTCCGTCAACCTCGGGAAATTGCAGAAACTTCGCACGCCATCCGCCAAACCGCTGACCAGCCGAATTCTGCTTTTCGGAAGGTCCTCTTGCGTCGATTTTGAGGTCTTGTAGCGTTTAAGGGCTTAGGGCTTAGGGGTTTCTTTGCTTCCAGCTTTGGTTTGTAATTACCGCAAGGGCACTGATCCTGGATTGCAGGGACTGGAGGCTGCTGGATCGCTGTGGCAAGCGCCGGCCGTCGACACTCCGTGCCCGGTTGCTGACACGGCTGGCTCGGCTGACATGACTGATGCGGCTAACGCGGCTGGCATCGCTGACGCGACTTCTGCGGCTGACGTTGCTGGCATTGCTGGCGCGGCTGCTTGCGCGGCTGCTCGCTCTGCTCGGCCGACCGCCCTGGCTGCTCGCCCTGCTTAAGGTTCGGCCGCGGCTTTGTGAATGCCCGAGGCGTGGGGTTTCGCCAGAGCGGCCGCGGGTCTCAAGTGGGGGCAGGGTCTGAGGACGCCTTGGGGTGCCCGCCGGAGAGTGCAGTGATCGTAGCTCAGCTTGAGCAGCTGGCTGACCACTCCTTGTTCATGGTTGGGGTAGGAATAAAAATGTACATTTCTATTCCTTATTGGGTTCAAGTACAGAGAAACATGTAAAATGCTACCCAACTATGACAAAGACTCGGAACACGTGGCTTGATCTGCGGTGGGCTACTAGGCAGGTCTTCCATCGACAGGCGCAGGATATTCCTTAGAACGCTGTGTCGTCTCTGCAGGTCCACCAGCTGGTCCAGCGCGGCTTCCCCAGGCAAAGCCTCCAACTGCGGAAGCAACGCCACAGCCGAACTGACCTTCAGCTCTGTCATCTTCCTTACATGTCAAGCTGCAACAGCTAGGCAGCTACATAGCTGTATTGCCAATATTTATTGCATATAGATACGGGCCCGAAGCTCTGACCGACTGCAAACTCGCGACACATGTTACCAAAAGCTGACGAGGGTCAGCTCCTGCACCAAGGATGCGAAGTCGCGCATCAGGGCATCCACGGTGAGGAGCAGGGTGTTGCTCTCGTCCTCATCGTCTTGGTACTCCAACATGGCCTGCTGCGTCGCGGTGTGCACGGCCTGCCTCAGCTGCCACACCCTCACAACCCCAATGCTATGGAACCCTGTCGTGGTGGTCCTCGTCGTTGTCGTCGCCGTCGTCGCCGTGGACCACGATGGCTTAGGGATTAGAGTGGAGAACTAACCTTACGGGTCCATGTACCCCAATAGTATATGCTTTGGCCTTAAAGTACTCCCTATACAGGTACATTGGGCCCAAAGTATATACTATTTGGGTACATGGGCCCTTGAACCCTAGACTCTACCCTTTAGAACCCTTTTAGAACATTATATTACTCTTGAAAGAACTCGTAAAGGAACTAATTTGGGTACATGGACCCTTAGGGTAAGCCAACCGAGCTGCTGATGAATCTGCGCCCGCGAGCGGAGGGCCAAAAAGGCCGAGGCCGGGCCTTTCGAAAGAGGGCTTAGGGTTTAGGGTTTAAGGTTTACGCTCTCACAACTCGGACACAGCGTTTAAGGTTTAGGGTTTAGGGTTTAAGGTTTAGCTAGCGGGTTCAGTTGCAATGGTGCGTTTTTGGGGGGTTTCACTGCTTAGGCCGGGACTTGTGGTGCATGCTACGGAAAGTGCTTGAAATGCCGTTATTTGCAGGTGTTCGCAGTAGTGGCATTGCGTGCCTAGGCTTTCTAAACACAGCATAGAAAGGGCTCCGCAAGACCAAACGTGCTATGCGCGTTTGGCAGCAATGTGTGCCACATTTCTGCTTGTTTTCTGGGGTGGGGATGGGGTGGGGGTGGGGGGGGGGGTGTGATTTCGCCATGTCGTCTCTTTCACCTGGCTCCGCCTGAAATGAGGCAAAAAGCTTTCGGCTTCTCAAAATGGATATGACAAAACGTTCGATGAAGCTGTAGGCATGAGGGTTTCCGCTTGAGAAGGGGTTATGAGAAAACGTTCGATGAAGCTTTACGTCGGATTGAAGCTTTTTGTCAAGCGTAAAGTTGGCGCAAAGCTGTCTCAGTTTACGGTCTGGGGTTAAGGGTTTAAGGGACGTTCTACCATGGTTTTGCGAAGTGAACGAGGAATACACATGATCATCTCTCGCCGCTCGCCGATCGGAGCTCGGCACAAAAAACACGAGAGCGCTATCCTTTGAGAAGTGCACACCGGCGCGCATCTCTTTAAGAGACATGAAACCCTCAACTAAACGAAACCGACAGACCCATGAATAAGAGGAGTTTGTGTGAAACTGTATGACAATGCTAAAATTTCACGTACAGTCTCATAAATGTCTTATCGTACTGATATGATGCTGGTTTTGAATGTTAGAGTTATTGTTCTGAGTAGCATGTCAGAAGGCCCTCTCGAATCGCAACCAACGAATCAAAGGAAACCTCCATATTGCGCGCTACCCTGCCAACGTTTCAAAAGTTTCACTGTCCTGGGCTTCGGGAACTTCGGCGTGTCCATCACCCCTACGGCCTGCAAGCCCAAGAGCAGCGAACACCTGCAAACAACACCGAAAACACCTAAACTCAGAAGCCCGAGTGAACCTGAAACCCTATGAATCCCAAACCCCCAAACATGTAACAGAAACCTGCAGATCTTATGGAAACCCATACAGGGAACTCCAGAAAGTTGGAATATGGATTAATGGTAGGATCCCCTATAATTTACCTTAAAGGGGTTACGATAATGATATTCCAACTTTCTGGCTTCTACTGTAAAGGAATCCTTAAATGCCCCTTAAACCGGTGGCGTGTTGGGGGCCTTCAGCTCCTGTTGGTGTCGGTGCACGGCTGGATGTGGCGCTGGCCGAAGTGCCTTGCCGCCCGAACCACACTTTACGCCTTGAATTCACAACCCTAAATTTAAACAAAGAGCAGAAACCAGGAAGTAGTTGGAGACACAGACAGGCCCCCAAAAGCCCAAAGCCCTTAAACTCTGAACCTTCACTCCCACACAATCCCCAAACCCCCCCCCCCCAGCACCAAAAACCCCGTTTTGAACGAGGTCCTGCACCCCTAAATCCTACCCTCACACCGCACTGGATCCTAGAACCCTGCAGCTGGCACTGTCACGTAACGCTCGCTTGCGGCGGTATGGGACGACTAGTTCTTTTGCAAGGCAGAGGGTACCTTTAAAGGGATCCTTTAAGGGTTCCTTAAAAGGATCTATAAGGCTTCTATAAAGGGTTTAGGTTTAGGGTTTCCGAAAATTAGAGGTACCTTGTTCTGGGGTCCCTAGAATAAAGATCCTACTATTTAGGGTCCTATATTAGGGTCCCATATTTTCGGATACTCCCATTTCAGGGCTACGGGCTAAGGGTTTACCTATAGAGTAGCCAAGTACCTCAAATTGGTACATGTACCTGTTTGAAGGTACCTTGATTACTCTGGGTAGGGCTTGGGGTCTCGGGTTTAGGGGTTTAGGGTTTGGGGCTTTTAGTGATTGGTAAGCGATTTTCTGTTGAACATTGGGTGCCTTTTCTTGGTTCCTTGTAGTAAGGAGCCCGAAGTTTAGGGTCTGTATTGAGGTTTTATAGGATTTAAAGTCTTTATTGTTGTGTTTCGTTTTCTTGTCTCAGGAGTCTCAGGCCCTTTTCCGTAGCAGCTCAGAAAGCCGCCTGGCACTAGCACTCGCTCCAGAAGCTCGGCGAGTCGTATGAAATGGCACACAGGGAAAAGCAGGATGCTTTGATGAAGCTTTACATGTCTCAGCAAACCAGGAGGTCACAGTGTTTGTAGAAGGCTCTCTCGGTCATCGGGACGTCTCCACTCTGCTCGTTCGTACTCACTCTCATGCCCTTGCTCCGTTCGAAGCGGGCGAAATCGAAGAGAGTCTTCTTCCGGAGCTCCGGTGGACAGTCCTTGACGAATTCCAGGACCGTCCTTCCTGCGAACTCGTCCGACTTCATTTGCGAGTCAAACTCCGCCTTCTGCGTCTCCGTAATATCTTTCTTGCTTCGACGCTGGTACATCAACTAATGGGGCTTCATGTTATGATTTAAGCAATTTAAGCTATATTCCTTAATTGAGGGATATTGGGCTCTCTGGGCAGGGTTATGGGTCAGGGGCTTTAGGGCCCAATTTAATATCATATAGCAGGTTTAAACGTAAGGACTGACAAAGAACTGTAGTGTTTCTTGGGGAGGCTACGGCAATGTAGAGGTTTGAATAATTAGACCAGAGTTTTGACGCCTTACATACTACAGCAATATCCTCGCACAGCGTTACTAGCTATTCAGGTGCTGCAGTCCATGTACACCCCTGTCACGAGCAGTGTACACCCCTCCGGAATCCGAAACCCCTACACCCTAACTTCGGGATCCTACGCTTGAGGGTTCAGAGGACTGAGTATGTAGTGAGCCAACTGCAGTATAACCTTGTTTATAACTTACTTGCTAAGTCCCTTGTGCCCTTCAGTCTAAGTGGTACTCCGGCTCATGTGATGTAGGGTGTTTGCTACTAGTATCCCACATGGTACACCCCAAATGTGCACCCACCAATGTTCCAAAAGAGCCCTCTACACAGTCACGCAGATTGGATCTAGACTCTGTTTCAAACACGCATAAACAACCCTCCAAACCCAAAGCCCTCAAGACGGAAAGACATAGAATGACAAAGAAGCTGCATTCCTTCACAACCAGGTGGACTCAATATCAACCTTAGCTCAAGTAACCCACTACAAAAAACATGTATGCGCCTTCGAAAGCCCCTTAAAGCCCTGTAACCCTCTTAGAGTAAACTCAATGCATGGTCTACTTCGCCTTTGGAGGCATGGCGTGCTGTCCGTGCACTGTGGTGCTGCTCCTGAGTTTCTTGGAGGTTTAATTAGGGTTATGGTTCGGGGAGTTTCAAAAAATACATGAGCTCAAACTACTCCATTTTTTTGCGAATCATATTAAGACTTGCTCATACAAGTCCGTTAAAAAACAGGTTTCATCTCGCGGCCTGAAACTTTGCACAGGTTCCTTCAGAGGGTTGCGAGGGCTCTATGGGTAGACGTGCTCCAAAACTGCTGCTGACAAGGATTTGAGGTGCGATACCGGGGGCATACGATCCGAATAGAGTTCTGCTTTCTTCCGCGCACTTTGTGTACGTGCCCGCAGGGAAATTTCTACGAATTATTAGGTTTTGGTATTGTCTTATCTGATGGCCTTTTATAGTTTCCAAACTCCCGCTTCCTTGTGCCCATGATCACAAATGAACGGAGGTTCTGCCTTGGTTATCAGGGTTTGTCACCCACCAACGGAATCATGATAATGTAACGTTAAGTACGGACGGCAACAACAACAAGGAAAGAAAGTACACAGAGACAGAGGTAAAACAAGAATCACACCACCATCGCGCTTCACAGCTAGCACAGCTAGAATAAGATGGACACCCAAAGCAAGAAGATCAGAACACCCCTAAAAGTCCTAAATATGGGACCTTGGACCTAATAATTAGAAGAGGATTTTGGTGGATATTCTGCTGCAGATATATTTGGGGCTGTAGGGAAGACCGTTTGTAAGTATTCGAACTTCCATGTTTTCCAGAATCTTGCGAAAGCCCTCCGAGAACCCAGAGCTCGCCCAGTGACGTCCCAGCGCTCTGGACAGCTTCGCTCGTGCTGCTCCTGTGCCGCTAGGGCCAGCCTCGGCTCAGTCTGGGCCCGATCCGTAAACCCTAAACCCCTGTTTAAGCCCGAAACCCTCATCGACCCCCTCTGGAACCCTAAATCGTTTCCGCTTTGGAAACTCTTCTTAAAAAGTTTGTTTGCGGAATCCCCAGCCCGAGACCCCACTATAAAACCCTCTAGTGCCCTTCGAAGGGGACCCTATTGGGTCTATAATTAGTACCCTTTAAAGGGGGACCCTATATGGTACCCTTGAAAGGGTGTAGGCACTAAGGCTTTGGGATTAGAACGCATAGGCTTCAGCACCTCAGCACGCATCTCCCTAGGATCAGAGAAGAAAATGTCACTCGTTAAGCCATATTGGGGTTTTCGCGTTCAGGCTGTAGGGTTCAGAGTTTCGGGATTATTTGGAGCTTCTGGAAGATTCCTCAACTCATCTTGAGGATCCCTTTGTCCTTTAACCCCAAACCCTGCTCTCCGATCTAAAGGGAACTCCAGAAAGTTGGAATATGGTTTCAGGGTAGGATACCTTACAATTTACCATAAAGGGTTTAGGAGAATCATATTCCAACTTTCTGGCTTTTACTTTAACACCGAAAATGCAGTTCACCGCGAAGGGGCTGCTGGCCACAGAACCTGCACTTCACAGGCCGGAGTTCACCTCGCCAAAACCAGTGCTTAGTAGTAGAGTAGGTAGCTGCGAAATTTTCTTGGGGAACTACCAATGCTCTATAATTGCTGTAAGCTTTGTATTTCCCGTAGGCTCCTGGACAAGACAAGTAAGAGCGAGTGCTGGACTTTCTGAAGGCATATGTGGTTGTGCGTTCAGTGAAAAATCGCCACCAAGTAAGCTTTTCTGTATCCCTGGGTCTTCGGGGATGCAGGAGCATCTTCGCCGGGCAGACCAAAACCCACAAATAAGGTGAGAAAGCATCAAACCAACAGCATGGCACCTCTGTTTTTTGGGGGGTCAGTTGTCCGTCCCCAAGCCCTGAAACCTCCTCTGAACGACAAGATATTACAAGGCTGCAGCCATGAACGTGACTACAAACGTTGTTTGAGATAAGCAAGCTGTTAAACAAAGCCTGGGCTCCGGGTTCAGGGTTTAGGAGCTGACGGATTGTGTTTTGGGTTTAATCCCTGGCTTCTTCCAATTCGCATTAACCACCAAGCCTAAAACCCTAAACCCTATCCGAAATCACTTGTCACTGGTCATCTTCAAGCCAGTGAGCATGGGTAATTATTGGGGTCTTACATAGGCGCCTCGATAATTATGAAGGGGGTTTTAACGTTTTGGGAAAAAGGGCAGCGGGGGTATGCTGTAGCATGTTTGTTTTTAGGAGCCTTATTGTACGGAATGATGTCACTCATGACCCGGCCTTCAACAGCACACCCCTGAACTCCAAGAGCTAAATATGCTGATTGCACGTCGCATGGCCTTAGTAGTATACGAGCCTGAATAACTCCAGGCATTTCTTAGGGGTTCCTTCTTCACACTGAATTCCAAGACACGCCCAAGCCCTATTCTACTCACTAAGGCCCCTATACTAAACTCCTATGGTAACTCTTGTAGTAACTACTAACCTTCCAAAAAATCCTGTGCCGAACCCTATTCTCATTGCCAAAGCCGACATATTATATCAAAGTACCATACAAGCAGCAGAAGAGCAAGCAACACAGGGGCCTCACGTAGAATTAGAACAAGCTTTCGGAGAGTGGTACACCAGAACTACTGCAGGGAACGGGTTTGGAATAGTACTACTAATCCTGCCGACCCCTGCGGCGTGCAGGCTTCCATATTCAAGCATGCCAGCTTCACGATGCACGGGCAGCGACATTTAGACAGACGGGCAGGAGGACAGACGGACAGACAGACAGATAGATAGACAAATGGGAGATTGGCGGATCGACATTCATGTGGGGCTTACGGACGGTTCAGGATTCACACGGGATATGCGAAAGCTTGATTGTGTTTCCTCATATGATATGGGCTCCTGCGAACATTGAGCAGGATCCGGCACGATCAACCTACATGTAACGGAAGTCGACCAGAAATCTCAATCATACGAACCCCACCTCCTTCAGTTGGGGTTTCATGCTCCACGAAGAATGGAATTACTTGCGAGGAAACCCTAGGCGATGGACCCGAACTTTCGTTTAGGCCACGGCCTCTTGTGTGCTCGGAGTGTAGTGGCAAGGATGCACTACCCCAATGGCTGGAGGCTTCCGCACCTTCGTGGGTTTAGGCTTTAGGTTTCGAGGTGAGTTCGCGCTTGTGGCCGGGCTGGCTCATCTTCTTGCATGTTTCCGATTGTTGCTCAGACAAGTCTCTAGGCGGTGTGATTACAAGAAGAAAAGAAGGGAACCTTCTTGGTGTTTATTCTGGGGCAAGATGCTCAAAGCAACAGAGTCCTGATTCAGGCCCCTTGTTCAACACCAGGGTGCCATTTTCCCTGGTAGCTGAGAACAGAACGAACGGTTTACTTTGCAGTTGTGGTCGGAGTTACTCATACCCCAATAAGCTAAAGGTTACCTGCCCAGCCCAAAGTTTGCGCCTCCGAATAGCTGACGTTACCTTATCCTTATCAACTGCCATGTCATTAGTGTTCATCTTGGGCGGCCCCTAATAGGGAGAATCCTCGACGCAAGCCTGCTTTTGCACTCAAGCCCAAAACGAATCACAAAACGAATGCTAACACATGGCTCAATTACTAGGCTCCCTTACAGCTCCCAAATGAACCTAAACCGGACGAGAGGCTCTCAGCTGTTCGGGGCGTCCTTCGTGCAGAGCCTCAATGACGAGCTATATAGGGATATATGAAGCCTGCAAGGTATGAGAAGCAGGTTCAGGGTATGGTGCCTCTTTGCCTTACTATCAATCCTGCTACTTCGAAGCTATGAACAAATTATTGCTTCTTATTAGCCTTAACTAAGCCCTCAACCCAGCAGCCCGATCTCGCTGTGAATCCAAAACCCCAGCCGTGAATTTTACACCTCCTTAAGGTAGAAGCCAGAAAGTTGGAATATGATTATCCTAACCCTTCTATGGTAAATCATAGGATATCCTACCATGAAACCATATTCCAACTTTCTGGAGTTCCCTGTAACCTCCCACGCGGCACACTACGGTTGCTTCGCTTTTAGCGGTTTAGGCTCGGTTAGGGTTAAGGGTTTCAAGCACTGGACGCCATGCAATTCCAGAGACATGCTGCGGCTTGCCACCACGATGGACACTAAACCCTGACACCCTACAGTTACCCGAAACCTGAAACTAAAACCCTATAACTATCCAAAATCCGTAAAACCTTTCACCCCAAACCCTGACAGTACCCCAAGACCCTTTACCCCAAAACCCTGAAGCCCTAAACTCCGAAGCCCTCAGACTCTATAGGGCTTCGGCGCTCACACTCGGACAACAGGGTTTAGGGTTTAGGAGTTCGCGGGTGTAGGGGTTAAGATCAATCTCCATCTAAGATTTAAGGCAGAATCTGCATAAAGACCCGACAAAGCAGAATGGATCCCATAACCTCTTCTAGTTTAAGTAGACTTGCACATGCTAGCGGCCAGTGCCACAATTCCTAAACCTTCTGTAGACGCTGCAGATCGGAGGTCCAAACCCTAAACCCCTTTTTACACCTGGACTACGCATATGCCAGGAACTGAGGGGCCCTAAACCCCTAAAACCTAAACCCTCTCTAGCTTGCGCCACGAGCTCTGCGGTTGCTGCTGGAATACTATACGTCGTAGGATTTCATGACATGGGCGGTGCTTTCTTATGAGTGTCCTTATTGCAATATGAAATCTACTGTGTAGGGTGCTATTTCAGGGTCCAGTCTTGTCTCAAACTCCCACATACTTCGTATCTTTGGGGTTTAGGGCTTATCGTGTTCATGTATCCTGGCTAAGTGTGTCATGGCTCCGGTAGCTGTGACAAGTGGTGGACATGCTGCAGTCGTGGACCCGCAACCCAAACCCGTTTTTTTTGATCCCGAACCCTACTTGAAGGCTCATGGGACTTACTAAGTAAGGTTATAAGTAGGTTATAATTAGGATAACCCCACTTAGGGGAGTTATCACCCCAATTATGACCTACTTACTAATTCCCATGATCCTCTAAGTAGAGTCTCAACCAGAAGCCCTTCGCCCACAAGCTTCAGCCCAGCTGCGACCATGATGATCCCATTCCTGGAGACAGCTTTGCTCAGTGGAACCCGCTGGATTTCTGAAGCTTGGGCTGCAGAGGCCAAACAGTTTATGTTGTGCGGCGCAACAAGCAGAAACTGAAACAAAAACACCGACATTGAAACCAATGGTAGTAGATCTGCCACAAATAGGGAGCACCATGGTGCGCAAGAGGAGCTGGCATGCTGTAGCATTGGCGAAGCCGACCTAATGTAGGGGCCTTCATAAGTAGAACAGGGTTTTTTGTGCTCCTCTATACTGTATAGTTATAAGAAAGGAACCCCTTAGGAATATTCTTGGTAAATAATACTTAGGCTTCTATACTACCGAACCCGAAGCCCTGTGCCCGCGCCCTTGGATCCAGTCAGTGCCAGCCTCTTCGTCTGCTTCAACCGAGGGCTTCACGGGGTGGCGAAACCTGGGGGGGCTTCAAGGGCTACTTGGAAGTTCATGGGCTGTTATAAGGGTCCCTTTAAAGGGATCTATAGGGATTCTATAAGGGTATAATAGGGCCTACTTGGAAGTTCATGGGTAGCTATACGTGGGGTTATATAAGTCCCCGAATATGGGCTATAATAGGTATAGTTGCGCTACTTATATTCCCACTTATGACTACCCACGAACCTCCAGGTAGTGGTGCTTTAGGGCTTCAGTGGTCATGTTCATACTCAGTCCCTGCAAGTCGAGGTTTAGTCTTGTGCGGCAAAGCACAGCTCACATCAACCCTTGAACCCCTGATGTTGGCCCCAAACCCCCTTTTGTGGGCCACTGGACTCAAGTCTACTAGCCTGGCCTGAAACCCCAAGTGCCACTGGACTCAAGTCTAGCCAGTCTACGACCCACAATCATCTTGACCTGAAATACTAAACCCACATACCCCCTTTTTGGGCTACTGGACTCAAGTCGTCTACTAGCCTGGCCTGCAACCCGAAACCCTAAACCCCTAAACCCCACGCCCTTGGTCAAAACTCTTGGCCTCAGTGCGGCTGCACCGTTTTCGCTGCAGTCGCAAGCTTCGGGGCCAGGCTCACTAATATTAGGGGCTTCAATGGTTAGAGTAGGTCTTTGGGGCCCATTATGATACTATTAATAAATCACCCCCAAAAGTGTTTTTGTGATTATTTCGGCCCCCTACAGTATATTACAGTAGGGTTTCGGGTCGAGGCTTTGGAATCACAGGCTCTGGCCAACTCTCACCACCGTACTGATAACAGCTTTCATTACTATTATTTAGGGTTCAGGGGACTACGTTAAGCACCATGATTCTGATGATTCGGAAGTATGTCATACTTGAAGGCTCATGGGACTTAGTAAGTACAGTTATAAGTAGGTTATAACTAGGATAACCCCACTTAGGGGACTTATAACCCCAATTATAACCTACTTACTAAGTCCCATGATCCTCTAAGTAGCTTGCGGAGTCACACCCAAGGCTTCAGAGAGCAGCCAAGGCCAAGTGCGAGCACCGCAGGCTCAGGCGAGCACCGGGGAACCGCCGGACGCCGTGCAGAATATTCCTGACATTTGGAGATAAGGGCAAAAGGTTTCCCTAAAAGCAAAGATTTGAGCAGGGACCCTAAACCCCAACACTCTAAATCCTAAACCCGAGGAAGGGACCCTGATCCCTCCTAAATCCAAAACCGTAAGTAAGTAGGGTTCTAGGGTTGTGGGTTTAGGGTCGTGCTTCCTTGCCAAGGGCGCCAAACGGGTAAAAACCCAGATGGCTCCGGCACCCAAGTTTAGTTTAGAGCTAACGATTGTTTGCTTAGCCGAAAATGTGCCTTCATGTCTGTGTGTATACATGTAGGGTACCATGCACGGGCACAGTGTGTGTGTGTGAATATTTACTGAAATATTTGTGAATACCTGTCTACCTATCTACCTGCCTATCTATCTATCTATCTATCTGTCTATACACACACACTTATACTTCGATTTCGACTAATACTTGTGTGTATATGCAAAATCGTACTTCCATGTGTACTTACACTGTCATGTTTATGTATGCGCGTATGTGTATAAACATAAACTTTTTATATACATACACTCACCTGTGCGTGTGTGTGATGCTTTCGTGTGTACGGAAACTTGTAAGCACATGTTAGTTTACGTGCGACGGACGCATATATATATATATATATATATATCTATTTATACATATTTATGTATTTATTTATGTATACATACACACACACACACACACACAGGTACGTGCGTGCACACTCCTCGTGCTGAAAGGTGCAGTGGAGACTCAACAACAGCATAACACCATGGCTTTACCCTGCCTGTGTTGTGGCCCCTTTCACATCGAAGGGATATTGCATCTTATGGGCAGCTTGTATCCTTAGGCTACATGTGCGACTATCGTAAACCCTTACTTTTGCTGCATGGAGGAGTGATCATTAACCCGAATAGACCTAAGGTCCCGAAACCCTGAACCCTAGACCCGAGGCCCCAAAGACACTAAATCTCCAGGGCCCTAAACCCTAAACTCTCAAGCTCTAGTGCCCCTAAACTCTGAACTCCCAGCTGCGCGCAGCTTAGGACAGTCCTGTTCGGCTGCTACTGCGGCAGCAGGAGTAGGCTTTGGAATGGGATGTCGGAACCTGACTTCGGGATCAGGGCTTAGGGCTTCGGGTTCATGTCTTGCTTGTCCAGTATCCTAAGAATAACAAGGGCTAACCTTTGGGATGAAATAGGGCTTGGAGTACCCCCCCCAACAGAGGTTAAAGGTAACCTACTTTATTACTAAGCCGATGTTCGGCTTGTCAATTGGGTCAGGGTTTGGGGCTTACAAATGTTTATGTGTTGAAGATGGGTTGACAGTTAAGTGGCTTTAGTTTGGCTTTAGTCAGTAAGAGCATTTAGCGTTCAAGAGGTGGAGTTGTAGACAAGCCTTTTTAGGTGTAGAAATGGTTACTGTAGTGTTAAAACTGTAAGCCCAGCTCCTTCCCTCGAACATCCCAAGGCCCCAAGGCTCAAACTCAAGACGACCGAAGCCCTGAAAGGCCATTCAAACCCCCACATGCCAAGGCCCTCAACCTTGAGCCCTAAACCCTTACCCTTGCAGTCTTTAACGCCAGAAAACAGATCTGAGGCAAATCCGACCGTTTTAAGGGTACCGTAGGAATGCGGTAAGGTCTGTACAGGGTCTTATCACGGTTCTATTGAGAGCGCAATATCAAATTTACATCGCTTTTTGAATTGGTATGTAGTTTTCCTTACCATGGTTTTCACAAATGTAGGCCTCATTAGAGGGACCATAAGAGGAGACTATCATCAACTACTCCGCCCCCTAGGGGTGGATTCCTTAACCATGAACACTTTCGTCAGGATTCGCCCGGAACAGCTCTGGAGCCCGATACAGCTGTGTGCAGTAGACCTCGTATCTGAGTTCACTGCATCCTATCCTTTCAGCCATTCCAAAGTCCACCAGCGTCAGCTTTCCCACCGACTGAGCTATAGGATGTTGCCTTTATGTCCAGGTGGAGCATGCCTGCTGTATGTATACTTTTTAGGACAGCCTGAAGCTGCTGTGCCATTGCACCAAGGTGTGGCCCTTGCAGCGGGCCTTTGTGCTGCAGGAGACAGCTCAAACTAGGCCCACCATACTCCATGGCCATAAAGGGAAACGGGAGCAGCATCCTCGAGTCTGTGGGGACTATACAGCCCTTCATCAGATTTCATGTGAGGTTACTATCTTTGCACTTTTCTCATTACTCGTATTGTTATGATTCTTATTCTGGGAGCCCTGAAATGAACGCTATGTGGGTACTTCTCTGAATTCGGGTCCCTTCTTAGCTCCGCAGTCTAGTATGGCACCCGTATACAAAGGACCTCAGAAAGGGACCCTAATTTAGAGAACTACCAGTGGTTGCCACCGGGGGTTTACAGGGAACGGGCTCAAGATTGAGTGTATAGGTTAACCATGTAGGCTATTTAGGCTCCAGCTACATAAACCCCAGGCCCCTAAACCCCCCCCAAACCCCAAAACCCCAAAAAACCCTAATCCCTTAAACCCAAAACCCGTGAACCCTAAACTCATAAACCCTAAACCCTTAAACCCGTAAACCCCAAAAGCAAAGCCCCAAAACCCTCCCCAGAAAGCCCAATACCCCTTAATGAAGGAAGATACCTTAAAGTATTAGGGGCTTCATATCATATTCAAGCTATATCAACCAGAGGTTTTTGGGGGTTCCGTTGGCTCTGTAGCTCCTTATCTAGTTAGTGATTATCATCATCCTTAGCTCCTCCAGTAGCCATAGTAAGTATGTTCCTTAACCTTAATTCAGCATAGGGGACCCTGATATAGTACCCTATGTACTAGGATCCTTATTCTAGGGACCCCAAAACAAGGTACCCCTAATTTTCGGAAACTCCCCATATTGGTCCCACTCGAACGGGCCCACCCTGGCCTTGGTACGGCCGGCCGCCTTTCGGAAGCTGGCTCCTGCTTTGCGGGCTTAGGACTGTTTAGGAGTTTCGGAGTTTAGGGGGTTCCTTAAAGGGATGAATAGGGATCCCTTAAGGGATCTGTAAGTGTTTAGGGTTTAGGGCCAGTCTAGGGTTAAAGGCTTCAGGTTTAATGTAGGAACCTGATTAAGAAACCCTGTCCCTATGGCCCCAGAGTAGTAGGGCTCATACTAAGAAGCCGAATAAAGACTCAAGGTTTCTGAATCAGGTTTTAGTATTAGGGGTTTAGGGGTTTTGAGGGTACCCCTAAACCCTAAACCCTAAAGTCTGGTGGCTCAGGGCCCTCCTACTGAGCAAGGACGAGCGTGCATCGCAGGGTAATCCCGAAGAGCAGTGCACGACAGGTGCTTATTGCAGGCCCGCACGCCCACTCGTCGTGTTGCGGATCTTCTCAGAAGGCTCAGCAACAGCAGCAGGCAACCCTAAACCCGAAACTCTAAACCCTACCTTATTCGGCAACGCCTTGTTACCGTCACTGGCCTGCACTGCTCGACCATCTCGCGCAGCCGCCTGCATTTCACGTGATCGAGGAAATAACGCAAGACATATTGCCGATAGGCCCTTCCATGCATCTCGGGATGATACTTTTGGCATCCTCCGATACCAGCTTGTGGAAAATGGCCTTAGAAGGCTCCGGAACCCGTCAGATACCATTCGACGAGCTTCATCTACTTGCCCTCTTCCATGCGTCCGAGACCTACGGAGGGGCGCTCCCCGGCATTCTCGCTCGAGATCGGATCGGGTTTCATGTAAGGCTTAGGGGTTTAGGGTGGTGAAGGATTTATGGGTTTAGAGGTGAAGCGGTTACAGGGTTTAGGGGTTAGTGGTTCAGGGTTAATTTTTTATGGGGGGGAAGCCGTTGTTGGCTTCCGCCTAACCCTCTGAACTGTCCGAACTAATCCGGTAGCTTCGCCAAACCTCAAGCCGCCTCGCCAAAGAGCTGAGTATCACCTACCTACAAACCGGGCCCAGAACCAAATTCGAGGTTTCGGGGTCCTAAACCCTAAACCTCGAAACCCTCCTAAACCCCCAAACCCCTACAACACACCCCGAAAAAAACCTGGAAACCTCCTAAAGGAGCCCTAAACCCTAAACCCACAAAAAAACCTGAAACCTTCTAAAGGAGCCCCTTCCATGAACCGTAACCCTAAACCCTAAACCCCCTAAGCGGTTCCTGCGGACTCGGCTTCTTGATCGGCAGCGGCTCCCTCGCGCGATTGGGTGCCTCCTGGAACACCCAGGGCCGAGTTGTTGTTAGGGGTTAGTTGGGGCGTACGGTTTCAGCACTCACACTCGGACAATCCAGGCGAGGCAAATGGTTCGGAGTCTGTGAATGGCGTACGGCTTAGGGTTTCGACGCACACCCTCGCACAAGAAGGGTTTAGGGGTTTAGGGTTTCGAGTCCTAGTGTTTCCGTAAGGGTTTTCTGCAACCGAAAACTCATAAGCTCATCTACAACTAAAACTCCAAGCACCTTCTGGTTGCAGCCTGCTAAAGGGAGTTTCCGAAAATAGGGGACCCTAATATGGTACCCTATGTAGTAGGATCCTTATTACAGGGACCCCAAAATAAGGTACCCCTAATCTTCTCCCATATAAACCCTGAAACAACCAAACCCTTGTCCTGTCCGGCCATGTAGCCAAACTTCAAATGATCGGCCTCAGGTAATATAGGGGCCGTAATAATTGGAATGGGGTTTTTGGGTATCTTAAATTGTAGCGATATTTAGGGAACCCCGAAATAGTTCTTGGTAGGGACCCCAATACTAAAGTCCAATAATGGTAAGGTCCTTTTGTGCATGGGAGGTCTGAATACTAGACAACTAAGATGCACCCGCTTAGCTTCCACATTAGGGTTTTATGTAGGTATCCGGGCAGCCCGACAGTAGCATGTCAGATACTATGTACCCCTGACTGTTGATGCCCATAGTCACGACATCGAACACCGCTATCGACCGTGGTTTGCAACAGGAACGCTAGCCATAGGCAAAATGTTTAAGAATGCCAGTACCACCGTCCTCCTCATCCTGCTCATGTATCATTATCATCATCGCCACTACCACGTCCACCACCGTCGTTATCGTTTTTAGCCGAAGCCTGTACACTACGGGCATGACGAGTTTCCAACGATCAAAGGGCTGCTACAGCGAGTGGCCCGCAATAATGGAGGGGTCTACATCATTAGAATAGGAGTTTGGGGCACATTACTATAACTATTACCCAACCATACCAACCCCCCCAATAGTATAGGCAGTTATCAAGGCTCCTATGTTACACAAGGCTATGCTGGCGATGCTGAACACCAAGCTTGAAGGGACAACGAGGCCGATACTTATCATGGTGATGGTGACTGTGTTGAGGGCGGTGGCTGTGACAGTGGTGATGATGAAACCGATGGTCGTCGCTACGATGATTTAGGTAGCTTTGGTACTTCTAACCCGCAGCAACTCCACTCAGCAATAGTACTCAAACGTCATTAACCCTAGACCCTAAACCCCTAACCCTAAACCCTACTCATAAGTGGTAGAGCTGCAACAGCAGGGCCAGTAGCAGCTTCAGCATCGCCTAAAATATCACTATCAGCATCATGGATCCTGTATAGGATTTTGGGTTTCCTGTATAATGTGAGACTGTATACCAGGACCCTCCTTGTACCCTCAAATATGTTTATATGGTCCCTAATAATGGCTATTTAGGGTCTAATAGAGGCTAGAAGGAGGGTCTAGGTAACGTGAGAAAGTCTGCATAAGGGCATATATATATATATATATATATATATAGCTGCAAAGGACCATCCTATCCATCAGAAGCCAATTGAAGCTTAGAGGCAGATTTCAGGATCGGGTTCCACGCGGACGCTGGTGCCCCCGAGCAGGAACCTTACTTCGGTGTGTATGGCCTTATATAGGGGGCCTGGATAGTCAGAGCCGGATTTTGGGCTGTGTTACATTATTCTTTCAGGTATTGTGTTAGGGAACGGTAAGGAAGAGATTCATGCTTCTCTACTCGAGCATCGCGTTTCGGATTCAAGTGAGCGGCTAGAGTTCTCGGTGGGGATGCCTAGCTCAGGGAGCTACGGTAGGGATTTGTTCCGACTGTATTCATTGGGGCTTTGCGGAGGTTGTTTCGGAGCTTTGGTATCGGAGCCTTTCTACCAAGAATGGTATTGCCTTCATGACTTTATGGTATATTTGAAAATCATTAAGCAGCCCGAAGGAAAGTATCATAAATAGTTCAGGCCCCAATGCTAAACGATTTTTCGGGGTCATAGTGGGTACTCGGACTTACGGGTTCGTTCATGCCAAGTGGAGGAGGCCAAATACCGTCGGACTCCCGCAGATCAGACCATAACATAACCTCCGCACAGCCCGAACAATCCGAATCGCAAGCCCTAGGCCCAAACCAAAAATTGCTACAAACCCCTCAGACATGGCACAAGCGCCGATATAAACCACTACGGTAAAAGCCTGTAAGACCCTGTAGAGCCCCAGGAGCCTGCACCAAACTCCGCTGAAGCCTAGAAACACAAAGGATTTAAAGCGGTCTTGGCTTAGGGTGTTGGGGTTTGGGGTGTAGGTTTCGAGTTGAGGGTTTACTTGGAGGTTCATGGGTAGTTATAAGTAGGGTAACTATACTTATAATCCATATTAGGGGACTTAGAACCTCACTTAGAACTACCCATGAACCTCCAAGTAGGGTTTAGGGACTTCTTGATGCGGGGCAAGTTGCCACAGACAGCTTATCTGGGAGCCTAAACCCCTAAACCCGAACTCCATCCCCCCTTAAGCCACCTCCCTGAAACCTACAACCATCTAGCACCTAAACCCACTACAAGCCCTCACCTGTACCTCAAACCCTACAAAATACTAGGATATGACCATCTGACCCCTTAAGCACAGGGTATAGCCCCCAAAACAGTGGGTTTTCGGGATTTGCAGGCAAGCCCTCACAGACCAAAAGTGCTTTTTGCAGCCCCTAGCTGCTCGAACTGCGCTCTGCGCCGGCTTCCTTTGCTGGGAAATGCAGGAAGGATAAATACAAGTCGGGTTATAAGTAGGGTAACTATACTTATAACCCATAGTAGGGGACTTATAGCCTCACTTATGATAACTACCCATGAACCTGCAAGTTCTCCATCTTAAACGGTAGAAGAGGCCTATATGTAAGTTTGGGGTTTAGGGCTTCAAGGTTTAAGGGTTACGGGCCGTTTTAATTTAGGGATTTGGGGTTTAGGGGTTTCGGGCTTAGAAGAGTTTAGGATCTACAGATCAGAGGCAACTCAGAAGATGCAAGGTGTCAGTTTTATGGTTGTCTTGCTTTCCTACGAAACTCTACTTGGAGGTTCATGGGTAGCGAAAAGTAGAATTCTAAGTAGGGAAACAATACTTATAACCCATATTAGGGGACCCGTGAACCTCCAGGTAAGGCCCTAAATCCTAGACTGGGACTCTCCATGATGGGCCTGCCGATGGGCAAGGGAACAAGCAATGGTGTGTTTAGGGCTTACCTGACCCTAAAGAAACCTACATTTTTAGGGCTCCTGATGATGATTTTTTTATGTAAACCCTGAACAATAGGTGTGCGTTATTCCGGGTTAAAGTAGGTTTTAGGGTAAGCAAAACGACCTACTAGCCTGCACCCTGGTGAAAGGGTTTAAGATTTCGGGGCGTGCCGCAGCTTCTGAGTTCGCATTTGCCAAAGCGGTTTGTTCACAGCGTCGCAGACGCATGTCACGGTCATCACACATGCTTCGCAGCATTACAGTCTGCTTGCACTACCCATAGGCCCCATCGGGTTCTAAATATGAACCCCCAAAAGGAACTACTATGGGGCCTATGGGTAAGACTTTGCTTGTTTTGCCATGCGTTTCAGCTCGAAATTTCGATCGTAGCTTCAAGAGCCTTTCTGGAGTTCTCTGATGAAACCTCCGAATCCAGCGAGTGCCTCCAGTGTCAATGTGTCAGGCAGTTCCATTTTTTGTCGGGACGCAAACAACGTCTCTTGTACCCCAATTCTCACATGCGAACAACTTACTACCCCAATAAGCCACACAAATGAAAGGGTAAACTTTTCCGGCTCCTACTAAGCTGTAATAACCCCAAAAGTATAAAGGTTAGGTATTGGGGATCTAAGACAATGTTGCGGGTGTCGGGTCAATGAGCCTGCCAGAGCTCTCCGGTCTTGGGGCTCCTCTTTAAAACTTAAGTATATTACACCCCCCCAAGTCCTATTCTAGTTAATACGGCCCCCAAAACAAAAACCCGAAGCGCAAAGCCCTGAGTTCCGAATCCCAACCACCGGAAAGAATTTAAATCAAAATTCTAATCGATCAACCTCGGCCCCACAGCCCTCAGCAAGACTGCCCTGTGGCCCTAGTTTTGCCCAAATGCCCTTACTTCCCTCCTAGAATTCTAGAACACCTCTTCAAACCTTCAAAGAACCCTTCACAAAACCTCTCAACACCCTCAGCCCTAAACCCCGAAACACCTAAACCCTAACCCTTTAACCCCTAAACCCCAAAACCCTAAACACCTACAGCCTCAGTCTAACAAGCCATGGAGCGAGCTCAGAGCTGTTGGCCATCCCACAAACTCCTCGGGCAGAAGAGGCAAACCTTTAGAAGGGTATGTAGAGTGTTTGGGAGGTTCAGGGGACTGCCATGCGGCTTCGGAATTGAGCCTAGAAGGACCTGACTCTGTATAGTAGAGGCTTTGGGAGTTTAAGGGGAGTGCCATGCGGCTTAGGACTTGAGGTTTTCAGGCGCAAGGTTTCGCCCTAAACCCACAACCTTGATTTTGGCCTTAAGGTTTAGACTTCGAGCTCTGGCTTTTGCCCGTGAAACTCCTACCTCAAGGCTCCCACCGAAGCGTGCTTGAGCCGACCACCTAATGTCGGGGCCGTAATACTTAGAATAGGGTCTTGGGCTCCTGTATGGTACATGTGTGACAAGGAACCCTCAGGAATCATGTTGGAACCCTAAACCCTAAACCCAATTTTACAACTAGTGAGGCCTGCAGTTGTTCACCAAAGATAGAAAGGCTAGAGATGATGTCCCGTTTCTGGAAGAAGTAAGATCCTCCAGTCCGCAAGACCCCATGCCATCTTGATTACTTCATTCCGCTTAAGCCTGCACATACAGTTTCCCTGCTAACCGGTCCGCAGAACAACAGCCCCGAACCTTCATGAGAGCCAGGACTCTTCTCGACTAAGCTAGACTATGTATGCAACAGTGACAAACCCTCTGCTGCACCACAACAGTTTCGTGTTGAGATGTGTGGCTTGCTACGGCCATGATAATCATTGCTAGTATCGTTGGGATCAGATGTTTATCATCTTCCTTCTGCATCGGCGTCAGCACTGGAGCAGCAGCTTCCTCCCCCCCGGTTTACCTGCTCCTCAACGCCATGCATGTCATCTTTAGCAGCATCACTAATGTCGCCGCATTTCTACTACTTACTACTTTCTGAACTCTACCATTACAGCTGTCATCATATGTCATCATCAGCTGCATCCAGATTACAGGAGCACGGCCCGAGGTTCGCGTGATGCGTGCCGGCAGGGCATCATTGCATGTTCGGCTTGTAATGGCTACGCAGCTCTCAAAGGAACTGAACAGGTTTGCGGCCGTGCATTGGCAAGATTACATGTCCATCATCTAAATATAGTATATCGCTGAATGCTTTCGGGATTTACGGTGCAACTTTGGCTTGAAACGAAGTGACTGTATCATGTGCGATCTTTCCTGCAGATCTGCAGACTCTTGACGTGTTCTTTCGCCGGGGGGATGTCACTAGAACCAGTGAAAGGTTTGGGTTTAACTAAACCAAGGGCCATGGGCACGACCATAATCGGGACAATGCTGTTGCTTCCATGTGTCAGATATGCCTTACGCCTGTGAGCCTCTCACGGCGAGGATGTCTGCTGCTCTGGAACTAGCGGAGACTGTACCGCAAACCCTATACCCAGCCATAATTTAGGGGGCTTAATAAATAGAATAGGGTTTAGGGGTACATTATACCATAATCACAATAAGGAAACCCCCCCAAATAGTATCGGTAATTATTTAGGCCCCTTTATTATACAGATTGGCTGTCAGAATCCCAACTAGCAGCTCGACTTTGCATGAACCCCAAGCGATTAACAAAAACATGAACCCAGGGGCCTCAATGGGTTCTAAGGAACAGCGTAACTAATGGCAGAGGCCTTGCACAAGAAGCGGTTGGAGCGCACTCCTACTGACCGCATGCCCGTTCGTAGCAAAGCAAGGTCCTGCCCGCGGAAGACACAACGCGAGGCCTCGCGGTTAGGGAGAGAAGAGAAAGCTCAGTACGCCTTATTTGATTGAGGAATATGCCTGAAAATCATTAGGGCTTCATATTGTTATGATTTAAGCAGTATGCCTTAATTACGGGATATTGGGCTCTCGGGGACCTTCGCGCCTTGCCGCGCCTACTTGTCCAGGACCTTACGGGAACTAAAGTCTAGCTGTTTGGATTTTACAGGGTTTATACTGCCCGCAAAATGGGCAAAGGTTACCTACTCTACTACTAGGCACAAACAAGTGGCAAGGCTATATTGACTAAACGCCTTTAACCTTGTGGACCAGAAGTATGAGGGGATACCTTAAACCCGAAACCTCTACGGGGGATGACAATTGAAGCTGCACACACATGTGTGTGCATTGTTGTACGACTCCTACAGCGGTTTCTGGCTTAGGTGCCCTTGCAAGAAACTTGGCTGACTTCTAAACCCCTCCTAAAAGCTAAACTTCCAGCCCCCCTCATTAGAGTTCATACAGAAACCCCAAAAGTTAAAGTCCTAAGAGCCAACCAGAAGAATGCCAAGGAAACACATACGAAACTAGTCAAACTGGACACCGCAGAAGCCTCAAGCCCCAAAAGCTGAAACGCCAGGTCGTCATATAGAAGCCAAAATGATTACCAATCCTATTCCTTAGGGTTCTTTGTTGCACTGAGACTACAAAGGAGCCCAACAACCCTATTCTAAGTATGAAAGCACCTACATTACTGCAGAAACCTAAACATCACACTTACAAATCCTAGCTCTCTTGCTGCCCCTCTTTCAGGCGGCAGGTTGCGCAACGGATTCTGCCCCACGCCGCTTTTGGGCTGGGCCTCAATGATCAGAAGAGGGTGTTGGGGTACAGTAGTGCAAGTTTTTATGCAGGGACTATAAAAGCAGTCGGGTCTTGTTGAAAGGATTGGGCTGGGGCTCCTAAGTGGGCTCAGCCCTGGGTTTCCCAAGCTTTCCACACCCTTCCACTGCCTGCGTCAGCCAGGCCCCACTTAATGAGCCGGCCCGCTTCACCTATCTGCTGTAGGCTATCCATGGCGGCCCAAGAGGCAACAAGGCCTGACTTCGGATCCCAAATCAACGCTTGAACTTTGGCATTGAAATCGTCTATGTCCTCGATCCTTGCAAGGATCAGCTCTTTGTCTCGTTCACAAGACGCTTGCATCTCCCTCACATCCAAGTTCTCTAGCGTCTGTGCCCCTTCCTGCAGGGTTGCTTTGGAGGACAGTTTCAGTGACTGATCCATCTGCAAACGCCGGGCCTCGGCAATTTCGGCCACACACCAGGCGCGACGGAACAGGTCCAAAGATTTGTCCACTGCGATGACCTGTCTGCACTTTCCAGTGGTGGCCAGGTGGTACATCATATCATCAAACTTGTTGACCTCAGATTCTACACTCCGGCCGTCTGGGTCACTGATGTTGACGCAACTACAATGGCACACTGGATGTAGCAAATTGCTCAAGGGATCTCGGTCATGTGGATTGCTGTGGCAAATTGTGGCGTGTTGGTTCACGGCAAAGGCGCAGATCCAATAGGTTGCATCCAACCGCCCCATCTTTCCCAGCAGCTGCTGCAGCAAAGCGGTGTCCTGCTTAAGCAGCCGAGCTGGCAAGTTGAAACTGCACTCCTGCAGGGCATCTGCCAATACCGCGGCCAAGAGGTCGTCGAAGCGGTTGCCCCAGTTGTGGGTCACCATGACTTGCGCCCTGCGGGGCCCGTCCTGGTTGTGACTTGACACTGCATAGGCACGTTCCTCGCTGCTGGTGAGAGGTATGATCACCCTGCGGACCACATCTTTGGTTTTGTGCTCTTCTGGGGCATACGTCCATCCTTGCACAGTTGGAATCTTCGTCTGATAAAACTGCAACAGACTCTGCAGAGTCATGCCGCGCCGTGCAAGTTCCTCCACTTTCCGCGTCCAGCTCGGATCTTCCGAAGTTGGCTTATGTGTGTTCTGGTCACAGGGTTTCGGCCTGCAAGGCCATTCGATGCTTTGGCTGGGTTCAGTTTTGGTCAACCTGTGGCTACCAGACAGTAGGAGCACGGCAAAGGCATTTCCAAGTGGGTCCAAGAACTGAATGAAGAAGCAAACCCAACCAACCCACAGCAACACGTTCTCGCTCCAGGGGAAGATGTGCCAGAAATCGATTACAACAAGACATGCTGGAACAAGTATGAGACTGAAGACCAAACTGAAGGAAACTCCCACTGCTTGCCAGCCAGCAAGGCGTTTGGTACGTTGCAGGGCAGACTTGGCAGAAGTTGGCGCTTGCGTGCCGTTCGCAAGCCGCGAAATTCTGCGCAACTGACAGAAAGCTTTGCTGAAGGAGGAAATGGCGACGATGCTGGCCACCACGTTGCACAAGCAAATTGCAGGTACAATTGTCATCAGTGTCGTGAGCTTAATCGCAATCAGACGTTGAGTTTCCCCGTGAGGCGAAGTTATCTGTGGATAGATGACAAGCCCTCCCAACGTCAGAGTGAGTGCTACTGCCCCGATTGCTTGCACCAGCACCAGCCGCCGAAAGCAGCGGCTGCAATACTTTCGGTTGGAAGACCGCTCCAGAAAATCCAATCGGGAAAGGATCAGAGCCTGCATCCAAAGTAAGCCAATGACATACAGCAGCAACCTGCAATACACAAGAACCGTGCGCCAACTGCGCCAACGATGGCCGTAGTCATTGTCCATGACCGTCGTCATGCCTAAAGAGCCCAACATGGCTTGAACCCAGTTGACCAAGGCATAGCCACACGCTGATTTCGTGTGATTCGAAGAGTGAAACCTTCTGAGCAGGAAAGCGGCTACACAGCCAGCGCCGAACGCTGAGAGCATCAGTCCACAAAAGAAGAAGTGCAGTTCAAAATGACGGGTGCACCACTCTATCTGATAATAGCCATCGCCATCATCCAGTGTCCATTGAGCACACTGACTTCCGTGCGGAGGCCATAGTACAGCCGTGGCCACGGCATTGGTGATGAAGACCAGCAAATACGATTTCGGCACCCGGCACAGACCTTTGGGAACATCCTCAGAAGACGGCCCTGAACTTTCAGAGCTTTCATCACTTGCTAAACTAAAATGTGCCATGACACTGAAAAGAAACAAAGCCTCAATGGCTGCAGTGGCATTGGGATTGTTGAAGCTCTTCATGTTCATATTAAATAACAATAGCACCAATGGTTAGAACACGTAATAGTACGAGTAAGAGCAGAGAGCATGGTCGCGGCCATGGCCATAGTCATTGTACGAATAAGGAAGAGATGTATTCTGGCAGAAGTACACGGTAGCAACCGCAATCTTACAAGACTTGGCAATAATAATGACGATCAAGCTGGCAATGGCAACGGCAATGACGATGACCTTGATAGTAATACTAAACCGGCAACAATGCTACAAGTACTATTTGCGACATGCCTGCTCACGATAAATCAGAACCACCGTCAGAGTCATAACCTAGTCAGCGCGAGCATGTTCATACTTATAAGAACCTTGTTAATATCAGTACTACCAATGATCCCAAACAGAACCATAATAAACGATGACACTGCATGATAGTGTGACCAGTAATATTCATCATGTTAGTGATACTCATAATTGCCTGAATGATAACAACTCTAGCAATGATCGTAAACAGAATCATAATTACGATAAGAACCGGGAACTCCAGGCTCTTTTGATCCACCCGGCGGTCTTGAAATCGACCCGGCCGCGACTGCTGACCTGTCCAACTGCGGCTAGGCACGTGAGGCTTGACTCAGGGTTTTTGTGGGGTTTAGTTTGGGCGTGTATGGGGTTTACAGTTGAGGCTGTAGGCTTTGGGTCAAAAGGCTTCGGGGCTTGTGGTTGAGGGGTGTGGTGTTTCAGGGTTCAAAGCTTGGACTAGAGAGTCATTGGTGCTTAGTTGCTTTAAAGAAACCTAACTTGAAGACGTCGTGCGGGGTGCTCGGATTTAAGGAATATTTCTTTCTTAAAGGTTTGTGGATAGCTTTCAGCGCAGAGATGCCGTGAGCAGGGGAAGCCACAGCCTCGAGCCTTGAATTGAGGTTTCGAGGGGGGGCAATACAGAAGGAATGGTAGGACTCTTGTTTAGGCTTCTAGGTTATGGCTCTCTCACCCTCTCTCGCTCTCTCTCTCCCTCACTCTCCCGCTCTCGTTCTCTATCTCTCTCTCTCGCTCTCTCTCTCTCTCTCTCTCTCGCTCTCTCTCTCTCTCTCTCTCTCTCTCTCTCTCTCTCTCTCTCTCTCTCTCTCTCTCTCTCGCTCTCTCTCTCTCTCTCTCTCTCGCTCTCTCGCTCTGTCTCGCTCGTTGCCCCTCTCTTTCATCACGAAAACCACATCAGGGTTGTAGCCTTTTCGGCACAGAGGCCGGATTTAGGATAACGGGTATGGCTTTATTGCAGTACCTGTATACGCACACAGACAACAGTCCCCATACCACTACTGCATAAAACACTTGACCAAGACAAGAGTGACCGACAGAAGTATTGGTCATCACGTTAAGGACGCTGCCGGCAACCAGCCGCATGATTGGAATGATCACCCTGACCAATACTGTACTGCAACCAGCCGAAGCAACAGCAGCAAGATCACCCCAAGAACAGCTTCTGCTGTTTTCATCATGAGCAGCGATAGCAGAAACAACAAGAGTTGCACTAAGGATGAGCTTACTCCCTAATTTGGTCCTAAACCCAACCTTAGAAAGCGAGATCTAGGCAAGCAAGTGCGCACTTGTCCGGTCTAGCAGCTGGCACAACTAGAGATTGACCTGCTGGGGTTTATAGGGGTTGTACCCACGAGCCCCCAAGCCTATACATCAACTTCAAAGCCACCTTTGAGCACCTGACAACAACATGACTACAAACCCCCAACACCTGCATGAAAGTTCAAAACCCCCTTAATACCAAAAAGCACTCGACTCGATTACCAGTAAACTTCCCCTGCACTCCGAATTGCCAGTTGCCTTCCTTGCCACGCGGAACCCTAAATCCAAATATAGAGGCCACGATAATCGGAATAGGACTTCAGGGTATATTGCGCGATTCAGGTTGTGGGGACAATAGGGGTGATTAGTCCGACTCCTATATAATTATATAACCCTGAGCCGTAAACTAGTTCCTCAGCCCCATACCCTGGCCCTGACCCTCACCCAAAAAACCCTACCGCCACACACAACCAGCTGAGAGCGCAATATACCTGTAAACTTACAGGCATTCAAGAGTGCTGTTTATCGGGTTTGTTGGCACGATTTGATTTGAAGAGATTTCGTGCTGCAGCCGGAGGTATCGGGCAATCCCATGCACCAACCCCCGCAAAACAAACTTGGTGGGTTCAAGCGCGCCACTTTCGGAGCCTTGGGGCACGAGCTTCGCACCCAAAAGCCAGAGCTCAAAGTCCAGACCTTGAGACCAAATTTTAGGGTTCAGTCAGGGCTTAGGGCGAAATACTGTTGATGATATAAATCCTGCATTACCCACAATAAGGTTATACCATAATCCCCCATAGTCTAGGGGCCTTAAGGTAATGCAGGATTTATATCATCAACCGTAAGAAAGCCCGGAAACCTGAAGTTCCACTTCTGCAAGTCTTTCACAGGGCCCTAGAAGGCTAATGAGGGCATCTGGGCGTAAAGGGCTCCCTCTAACAGCTGAAGAGTCAGGATTTGCATATGCATTTGTGTATGTATACATATATATATATATATACGAGTACAATATATATATATATATACACATATGAAGTAGAAATATACATATGAACAAAAACAGTATACATATATATACACATACGTTTACATGTGCGTTTACATAATCCTCCACATGCAGAGTCCCGGCGAATCGACCCGTTGAAAAACAATGGCCCCTATGTTTATGTGATCAAGCACTTTTCTCGACTATGCAACTGTGACAAACTTTCCAGCACATCACAACAGCTTCGTGTGCCTGCCACTGACTTGTCACAGCCATGATGTTGACCGTTGCCTGTACCAGCCTGATCGCTGATGCTGTTCTTCTTCTTTCTGCTGCTAGCAATATCTTTGTGACCCACCAGCATCAGTACCAGAGCACTGGCACCAGCATCAGCCTCCCTTTGCGCTCCTCCTCATCATACGCGCCATCTTCAACCGCAGCACTAATGTCACCAGAATGTCACTGCATGTCTACTACTTTCTGAACTCTACCATTCCTGCTGTCATCATCATCTGCATCCAGAGTGCAGGGGCACGGCCCGAGGGCAGCGTGCTGCGTGCCGGCAGGGCATCATTGCATATTCGGCTTCGGCTGGTGGTGGTTCGGTCGATGGTATAAATCCTGCATTACCCATAGTAGGGTATATACCATAATTCCCATAGTTTAGGGTCCTTAAGGTCATGCAGGATTTATATCATCAACAGTTGCCCAGCTCTCAAAACGCGACTGAAGAGGTTGGCAGGTATGGATCTGAAAGCTTACGGTACAGTCAAAGGTCGAAATATGCCGTGTGGCTGAATCCTTTTGGAGTTTACGGTGCAACTCATACAGAGGCTGGCGTGAATCGAAGTGACTGTATCATGTGGGCTCCTTCCACTGCAAATTCTAAACAATGCTGACGAGGTTTCTCGCACAGGGAGTGCCACTAGAACCCGTGACAGGTTTGAGTTTACTTAAGCTTGAAGGTAAGCGCTCTGCTTTCGGTTGTAGCTGTTGCAGGCATTCTGTTCACGGCCCATGGGCATTATCGTCATCATACTGATGGATACAACGTGCCGGTTTGCCTATGAGCCTCTCGCAGCAAGGATGCAACTAGAGCTGACCGCATCCGGGCTTGCGGCTTGGGAAGACTGTACCCTCAAACCCTGAACCAACGGTGCTCAAACGGTCTGGATCCCAAGCAGCACTTTGCATCTCCCAGGCGAGATGCTGAAAACAAACACCACGCGATTGAACACCACAGAAATACAGGGGCCTCAATAGGGTTTTGGGACATGTTGCGTTATAGCTGTAGCTGCTCAAGAGTCTTAAGGGAGAGTAGCTCCACGAATCCTGCGGCCTTCTATGCTCTAAACCTTAAACCCTAAACCCTGACCCCTAAACCGTAAACCATCAACCGAGCCACCGCTACTCACGTTAGAACAGAGCCCGACGTCTGGCTCGAGAGATGCACTCAGGGTCATCCCAGAGAGCCTCACACCCCTTGATTACGGAACATACCTTGGTTTCCGTTTAGGGTTTTTAATAGGGTTTCATACCCCTGAATCACGTATACCACCGAATATACCCTTAACTATGAATGGCGTGGTAAATAGTATGATTTAAGCTATATTCCTTAATTAAGGGGTATTGGGCTCTCTGGGATCCTCATGCGTACCGGCCTTAAGTTCCTCACCGACAATATAGCCTCCTGCCACACCGTTTCGCTTCAGACCCTTAAGCCCCCGATCACCTAAACCATCCTAAGCTCTAAACCCCAAACTCACCTGAACCATCCTACGCTTCAAACCCTAACCTACTTGTCGGGAATCATGGAGAACTAAAGGGTAACCTTTTGGGCTATAGAGGGATTATATAGGGACTATACTACCCAACAAAGGTTTAAGGTTGCCTACTCTACTACAGGCTATATTCTAAAGCCGCAACCCTGAGCCCTAGACTCTAAACCCTAAGCCCAACCCTGAACCCAAAGCCCTAAAAACCCTATCCCCCGATCTCTTCAAGGAGCCCCGATCCCCTAAACCCTAATCCCTCAACCCTGAACGGCATGCGCCCCGACGCCGACCTAAGGCTTGAGTATGTCGCAGACAAACTTAGTAGAAACCTATATGGGCATATGGGTGGTTGTCAAAATAAGGGTCCCTTT